TTGGATCTTTTGGGACTAGAGTTACAGATGATTTTGAACCACCATGTATGTGGGTGCTGGGACCTCAACCCGGTAGGTCCTTTCTGAAGAGCAGGCAGTGCTGTTAACTGCTGAGCTGTCTTTCCAGCACCACACTTTTTTTCTTAGTGGAAGTCTAGATCTTTAGCTTGATAAATATAAAGAAAATGAGTTCTTGTATCACTGGCAGTTTGAAGGATTAGAATTTTTCTGGTAGTGGGCACAGTAAGAACTAAAGTTGGTTTTTCTGTCTTTGATTTTGCTTTGTCTTTCAGACAAGGTGTCATGTAGCTAAGACTGATGTTGCCTAACTTCACAAGGCTGGGGTTAATGTAAACACCTCAACCCCCCTCCTTTCCTATCCCCCCCTCTATTTTTTTTTTTTTTTTTTGTTTGTTTGTTTTTCAAGATGTTTTTTCTTTGTAACAGTCCTGGATGTTCTGGAACTCTCACTTTGTAGACTAGGCTGGTCTTGAACTCACAGAGAGATACACCTGCCTCACTATGTAGCCCTAGCTGGCTTTGAACTCACAGAGGTTGGCCTTCCTCTGCCTCCCGAGTGCTGGTATTAAAGATGTACTCCACCACCACGTCTGGCCTAAATCTTGTTTCTGGAGTTGTTAGTTTGATGGCAATAATGTCCTTTTTGCCATATTATGTTTGACAGTATTTTCCTTTTCAGACATTAATTGTTACCATCCAGATTTTATTTGCAAAGTGTTTGCAAAGTAGAAACTACTATGAAAGCTTTGAACACTTAGGCACTAGGATCTTCATCACAGTGTTACAGTAAATCAGTTGCACATGTTTAGTTTGTGGCAGTGTTGTATAGGAGCCCATCTTGAGTGGTAGGCAAACGAAGGCCTCCTTAGTTTCTTTCAGTTTGATAATGTGGACTTTTACTACGGTTCAGTGAGAATGACTCAGGACCTTTTTTTTTTTTTTTAGCCTTTTTTTGAAACAGGTGGGATGAGAAGTACACAGCCTTTTCATAATCTCCCATCCAGCTTTCCTTGCAGTTTCTGTCTTACACAGCCTTATGCAAATCTAGAAATTAGGAAATCAGAGCCAGTCTACAAGCTGGCCTTGAACTTTGACGTAATGTTTCTCTGATCTTTGTACCATGTTGTACTTGGTAGCCATGTCTCCAAGATGTGCTTCAGGCCGTGTTGGGACGCATGGACCGCGATGCACCCACTCACCTAGGTCTCACTTCCTCCCGCTGTCTTCTGGGGTCAGATGGGACAGGTTTTGGCAGCAGCACAGAAGTGCTGGTGTGTGGTTCCCAGTGCCACGGTCGGGAGCTGCCTGCTTGCTCTCCAGCTTCTCTACTGGAGTTGTCTTGATCATTCATCAAGGAGGGTTCTTTCTTTGTATTGTGGAAGCGATGACCTGAGACAGCATTAAGTATTTTGTTTCTTGTACTTCTGTGTTTTGGTTTTAGTTCCTTTGGCATCCTTGCTGTCAGGGCATTTTAATTTTAATCTTCATCTGTTGTTATTGATAACTAATAGGGTTTTTTGTTTGTTTTGTTTTTGTTTTTGCCATAAATGGATAAATATACTCATAAAGAGTTGATGTAAATTCTGCTGTCCTTTCATTTTTCTGAGTGTATAATTCAGGGTCCTAGGATAAAAAACATATTAGAAAAGGTGCTTTACCTCAAAGCCAATAATTTGTACTAAAAACAAGCAGACATAGGAGCTGTTGAAGAGGAAAAAGGTAGGCTAATGATAAAAATTGCAGTTGACTAACTTCAGACCTAAAATGGCTTTCCATTAACTTGGGTGAGTCAAATAGTCAGTTTTTATTGTTTTTGTTTGTTTGTTTGTTTGTTTTTGTTTTGTTTTTGATGCTGGTGGGGAAGTGAGTGCATTGAGACAGTGCTTCTTTGTGTAATAGCATTGGCTGGCCTGGAATACTCTATGTAGTCCATGCTGGCCTTGAACTCACAGAGATCCTCCTGCCCGTTCCTACCTAACACTGGGACCAGAGGCGTGCCCTGCCACCACCTAGAAACAATTCTTTTTCATTTATAAGAGTCTGACAAATGTAAGGATTTTGTGTTTTGTTTTTCCTTTGACATTGGTGGATAAAACTTAACATTTTATTATTGCTTTTTGCCTTTGATTCTGTAGCAAGTTAACTGCTTTAAATATCTTCTCTTATGGAAGTTCTTTCACCCATTTTACTTCATCCTATGCCTTAGTGGGTGTGAGAACACATTTGGTTAGTTATTTCTTGTTTTCCTTTTAACGAAACTTGATATTTATATCTAGTGGTGTGACTTTAGTCCTGGTAACACTTTGAATGGTAACTTTCAAAAGGGTGAGAAAATACATTTATAATGGGATTTTGTTAGACATTGAGGGAGTTTTGTTTGGTAGATGATTCCTTTTGAATAGGCGGTCTGACTATTTAACCACGACTGGCTTGGGGCTTGGTAGGTAGCCCAGTGTGGCCGTACTTCTGTTCTCAACTCTGATACTTTGGATAAAGTTGTTTCCTTTAGAATTCTAAAAGTTGAATTATGTATTGTCTACCTGTATGTTAGGAAGCCCAGTGCTTGCTTTCTTACTGTTTCTTGGCCATTGTGCTTCATTTGGAAAACATTTACTGAATTACCTATGCAGAATGCCTCTTCTAGGGGCCCGAGAGACGAAGATAATGATTTTGTTAAAATACACACGTATGTTCTGACGGCCAACCAGGAGACTGTCCAATGAACACAGGAATCTGTGGGAAGTTCATTTTCTAAATGAAGTTCTTTTGAACCAGCAAGAATCAGTGATAGAAAGTGGGTAAGGCAGGTTACCGCCTCATTTATAATGTCTTATTTTATAATTTGCACATTTGTAAGCAGGTTTAAGTTTAGGTCACTAGTGTGGCACAAATCTTTAAGGTAGCATCCCTCTCCTGGACTGGTGAGGACAGTGTGTGGTCCTAGCAGTAGGGAGGCAGAGGTAGGAAGATCAAAGCCAAGTGCTTAAAACTGATAATTATCTATGTATCCTCATTATTTAACAATTTAGTGCTGAGGGCAAATTTCACAAATATTCTCATTTGACAGATATTTCAATGGGATGTATAAATGCATATGATGCTCAGTATGTATAAAATAGTACTTAGCACTTCTTTTTGATTTGTATATGACTGGGTTTTGTCTTTAGAAATGTAGGCAGTTACTGAGAACACTGGTGACTTTTAACCTGTTGGTGGTGACATCACATCACAGCACTGCAGGTTTTGTTACCATTTATTCTCTAGTGATTTCATTTTATTCTTACAGAATACTTAGTTTTTTTCCCTTTGAAACATCACACAGAGCAGTGGTTCTCAATCTGTGGGTTGCTACCCCCTTGGGGTCGAACAACCCTTTCACTGGGGTCGCATATCAGATATCCTGCACATCAGATGTTTACATTATGGTTCACAATAGTAGCAAAATTACAGTTATGAAGTAGCAATGAAAATAATATGGTTGGGGGTCAGCACAACACGGGGAATGTATTAAAGAATCACAGCAGTAGAGAGCTGGAGAACCACTTTCCTAGAGGAACTCTGTTGGGGAAAGCAGGACGAGGCAGTGCTCTGGTCAGCTGTATCGTTGATGCTCTTCACTTAGAACCTCATTTTGAAATTGTTCATGTTTCTGTTTGAAATCAAGTCCAAACTTTTAACTTGGAGCACAGAGAATACCAGGGCCCTTGATGATTTCAAAATAATTTTTATTTAGCAAAGTCTGTGTGTTTACTCATTGCTGAGTAAGAATGTGCTGAAGTTCTGATGCTGCAGACAGAATAAAATATTCTGAATGAAATCTGACTTTGAGAAGTTTATAGATTTCCTGATTTCTTGAGCCAAGTTACACTGACCTTGCTTTGTGACCTAACGGAAAGGTTTTAGGGTTTTCTTTTCTGTGGTGGTGGTTGTTTTGAAGCTAAAGTGGTGAAGGTGCTTTTAACATGTATTCTGGAAGGTGCAGATTCCATCAAAGGTTTGGAGGTGGTTAGCTCACTATTCCTGTTGAAGATGTGAACTTAACCAAATGTTAAGCTGAACAAGTTGATTCTAAACTTAAAAAGATTGTCGTGTGTGTGTGTTCAAAATGGCCCTGCACCTTTCCCAGTTTTCACCCAGCTGTGTGTTAGGATTGGTTGTTATTGGACAATTGGTGGGAAGTTGGGAAATTTGGAAAAAATCTCAACCTTTGTTTATGATTGCCAAATAGATTTTTTAAAAAAAAACTACCTTGGTGATTGCAATTAAATTTTTCTTGGATTTCATTAGTGTATAATTCTGAAATAATCTTCAGTGATTTATATTGAAATACCATCACAAAGGAAGGGTTAGCCAATAACATGAGTTAGGAAGAATTAGAGGGTTATTGCCCCATGGTTTTGCAGCTTTTCTGTAGCACTTACTGCAGAGGTAGAGGCAGCTCTGATATGCTGTCCTAGTGGTGGTTACCCATAGAAACGGAGCTCCTTAGTTCTAAGAACCTAACCTAGAGCGCTCCTCTGAGATGGTCCACATACCTTAGTTCTAACTTGTACCCTTCTCCTATCATCTTTAATTACTGTTTCAGGTCTACTGCCCTGATACAGTAACAGTGGACAGCACCTTTTAGAACATACTGGTCTAAAAACCAGTCTTGTGGGAACTGTAAGTGAGGGCCAAGTGTTGCCCCTCGGCCCCCCGCAGCAGCCTGTGATTGCTTGTTCCATGTGTCTTTCCTCAGTGGCAATTCCATGTTCTCTGTTACTTTCAAGTTTTTTCATTTCTTTTGACATTTGGAAATTTTAGGTTGTATGGTTAAGTTCATCACAGGTTTTCTTTTCTTGGGCCAGATTGTTTTTATTTCCCATTTGTACAGAGTTGGATATATTCCTAAGTAGAGGGTTCAGCTTTCTCTTCATCTTCAGGTTTTTTAAAATTCATTCTAAATGTTGTTAGATAATGGAGTAACCATTCCTTTTCAGCTTTGTTATGTTTCCAAACTGGCTGCCAGAGCCAGAAGGAAGCGAAGGCAGTAGACACTAACTGTGTTGGTTACTACCTCCTTAATGCTGAGACTGTAACCCCTGTTGGTTTGGTAGAGAGCAGGAGAGAGCCCAGCCCTCGTTCCACTAACAGGTAAGGAACTCTTGTGATAACCAGTCGGTGTGAGAGGGAAATAACTTGGTAGAATTTTTCCCCCTCATTACCCAAGATATAATATGTCCCAGAAGTAGGACACTATGGCTGATTAATCAAAGAGCAGAGATACACGGCACTTTCATAGTTAGCGGGAAGTCTTCAGATTTAACTGGAACTTAGCACTCTGTACCACAAAGATAATTCATCATTTTCCCTGAGGCAATACTGTTAATCCCTGTGACTTTACATATACACCTGCCTCTCTGGTTCTCCTTTCAGCTTTCCCTTGCTCAGAGGCTGTGTGCTTTGAACCTCTGTCCTACATATAGTAAAGCTGTTTTCCAGGATCTTTAGTATCATCTATTGTTTGGTATACTTTGATGCTTTAATTTCTACATTGTGGCCACTAATGATTATTCCTGGCCCCTCTTGGCTCCAAACAAAATGATCATGCATTTAAAAAATTAAAATATCTTTTACCTATAAACATTATCCAGCCCTCCAATTTCAAACGTGAATGGTCAAAGAAGAAATCTTTTTCATTGACAGAACTTTGGTAAAACTCAAATTTTAACCTTTTTTTGGCCTTAGTATTGGCCTATAGTATGGATCATTTCTCTCCAAATTACTGGAATTAAATTGAGCTTTGTAGATATTCCTAAAGTGTAGTATTGTTATTATGGTTATTCTGTTTCTGCTTTCCAATCCATCTTCTTCTCTTTGATGGAAGAATTAACTGGCTCTTTCGATGTATCTGATGTTGAATGCCTTCTCCCTGTCCCTTTAAGACAACTATGATCTTGTTTCCCATCATAATATGTGATTTTTTTTTTTTTTTTTTTGCTTCGATCTTCAAGTTCAGTGGTTTGTCACAGAGTGTGTTATGGCTTAGATCAGTACAGGTCCCTTCTTAATAGCTACTAAGGAATTAATCATTTGTGGTAACAGACTTCTAAAACTCAAAGTAAGATGGTACTCAGGAAAGTTTGTCCCAAGATAGCTCCTTTTTGTCCTGAGGATAAGCTATTACAACTCAAATGACCGGAGTATGTAATTTTTTAATAAGAATTTTTTCTTAAATCTATATTCAGCTCTATTTCAGTGCTTCTCTCCTACCAGAGGTGCAAGGAGTGATCCTAGAGCCACAGATACAAGACCACGGAGAGCTATTGACGTCAGGGGTCCACTTTCTCCACTGAACCCTTGGAGACAGAATACCCAGCTTCTGGAGAGAGTGGGAGAGGATAATAAACAAGTGGGTGCTTTCCATTATTTACTTGGGTTTATTTATAGAGTGGAGTGTCCTTCTGTTGCCCATTTTATCCAGTTGGTAATCTCCTTGGCTTCTTACAAGAACCAGGTGGGACTGCGATCTCTGTTTTTTTTTTTTTTTTTTTTTTTTTTTTTTTTTTTCTGAGAGTACTATCTAGTGCCCATTCAAAAGACATAGTAAAATGTATTGAATTTTCTCTCCAGATAATTAAAGCAGTGACTGATCTGGGGCACACACGATTTGGTCCATGCCTGTGTATTTCACAGACATTTAAGAAAGGCAGTGATTTCCTACTTTGGCCTTCATTGTAACAGTGGACTAGATAGAGTTCTTTTTAGAGTCCAGAAACTGAAGTTCTGTGCTTCATCCTGGGGTGATCTGGACATCTGAGATCTCTTAATGTATGTAGTTGAATGTCCAGGTGTCACCCTGCCCTGTTAGTGAGGACGTTTTGGTCTTTTCCTACTGCAAATGTTAGGCCTTCACACTCAAGTCTCTTAGGAGATGGAATGATAGTACTGTTGTGGCTTTACTGTCAAATGTAGGCTTCATCCTTTAATAAAATAAATTTGAATGAGTGTTAATTTCAGGATTTAATGTCCCTGACAGTTATATTTAATGTACTCAAAAGTAGTTTTCTAGTCCCTAGTAATGACTAGATTTTTCCTAGGGCATTAAGATGGTTGTTTCTTAGTTTGTTTGATGCCAAGGGTAGGGTGTGAGTCCAGGCAATTCTCACCATCTACAGTGGGTAGAATGTGAAGTTGGTGCTTTGGCAAGTTTTCATTGTTTCCTTGGTGGCTTCCTTCTGTGACTCCAGGTATCTTGATAATGGGAGACCGGTTTATTTGTTCTCTAACTGCCCAGATTTCTTTCAACTGGTAAAACATCATACCTCTTCAGCAAAAGGAATCCTTCTAGCAGAGCCCTCATGGACGATATCTGTCACACATGCCAGCACCTGCAGTTTGGAAGGCAGTGGTGAATGGATCCATGCAATATGTCTAGAAGACAGAAGGATGAGCCAGCCACCTGATCTTGTTTCTTACAAACGTTTTAAGATTTACTCTGGTTTATTTTTGGTCTGAAATGGAAAGGCTCAAATAATGAAGTAAATTTTTCATATTGGAGTTTTATACGGCCTTGAAAATTTCGTATTCTGAAGATTGAAATAGAAGAAGCTTGAGAGTCTTGTCTTTCAAAGCAGCTCTCTCTGTATCTGTTCACTTAAAAGATTTGTGGGACTGAAAACCATTTTAATCAAGTAGGCAACCCCCCCACTTTAAAAAGTAGCATAAAAAATATAGAAAGCTTGATGAATCCCCTCTAGCCCCTCTTCTTTTGTTACCCAGTGCTAAAGGGGATTAGCAAGTAAAGGTGGACCCGACTCTTCAAGAGTCCATTAATGTTAGGATGTACTCTTAGCTGTCTCTTGCTGGTCCTGAGCCTCATTCTTATGGTAATTTGTCAAATCAGCAAAGTTGTAGAACTATCTCGGAGACCAGCAGAGTCCGGTCTGTGATCCTAAGTAGTAAATGCCTGTAGTAAATGCCTGTTAGGGTTTCCTCTGCACCAGGCATACTATTCTTGAATGACTCAGAGCAGTTGGTATGGAACAGTGGTAATCCAGAGTCACTGAACCTGCAGGGATGAATGAAATCTAGTTATCCAGATCACTGCTTGAAGGAGCTATCAGAACCTTTGCTTCTTTGGTTATCTAGTAACTCTCTAGAAACCAGTCACAGCTTTTCAGGAAAGCTAGCAGTAAGTCACCTGATGCTGCCAGTTCCTCTTAATTTATAATAAGCATTAAGGAGAGAAATTGTAGAATTAATAATATAAGAACAACTCTCAAAGTTGGCTCTCAAAGTGTAAAAGCTACATTTGCTAAAATATAATCTGCTTTTAGTCACTCTTGGCTGTAAGAACTATTTTTTCTTACAAATTATAAGTCGTTTTTCTAAAGTACAATGCTTAAAAATAAATGTGAAAGATAATTTTGAGCAGAAAATTTCCCCACAGAACTCTGAATTCCCATGAATGGTTACAGTTTTGTATTCCCTACTTAATAAGATACTGCATAAATACATATACAAGCAAAAACCAAATCCCCTAACATTTTAGTAAGAACTTGGGGAACTGAAAATTAGATTTGCCTAGAAATTTAACTTCATTCTTTAAACCACTGTAGAAACCATTTTATGGCTTGAGGCCACTAGCCTTCTGTCTCTGCACTGAAGACAGCAAGTGATTTAAACTCGGAATCTCAAGCTTTAATTAATTTCAGCTCTGTTCTTAAAGTATGCAAAAGACATGCCAGTGCATTTCCATTATCTCATGCACTGCAAGCTATTTCAAGTGAAACTTTTTGTATATTACTGTGTACTGATTTGTTTAAGCTTTTAATTTTGATGCATTTTCCTTTCAGAGTTTTAAAGAATAATTTCGTGTCACAATATGCAATCCTATATCATTTCCGTGTTTATTTTATGAACATTAATATAAGTTATTTTTCTAGAATGCTTAATTGTGTAATATTTGTATTATGTGATCATTTGAAAACTAATAAATATTTTCTCCATGGAAAAATGCACTTACTGATAAATGGCTGATTTTTGTTTCAGGAATAGAAAGTGAAAATTGCAACCATATTTTTAAGTGTAATTTTTAAATGTGTCTTTTTGCTAAGTATTTCTGGTTTATATTGTCTTCCGTCTTTTTTTTTTTTTTTTTTTTTTTTTTTTTTGAGAAAGCACTTTCTCTGATTGTTAAAATTCTTGAGTCTATATGGTAAATAACAGAAGTAATTTAGTCAAATATTTCTGAGATTAGATTGATTAAAATAATAACGCCTTGCAAAATAGCATACATAAATAGTTCCTCTGCTATCAAAGCAGAAAGCATTTGAAAATGAAGGCCTACTAGAGAACTACCCAAGTCATGAATCGTTCCCAAGAAAGGTGTTTCTGTTTTACGTTCACCTTGAACCAATAACAGACCCTGACTTCAGAGTCTATTGCTTTTAACCTTATCCAGACAATGTTGATGAACGGTTCTTGTCTTTAAACCATGTACATTCACTCACCTGAAGCTGGCTGCTAGAGCAATTGCTTCTTCTCGAGAGTGCAGGGTCTGTTAGAAGAACAAGATTGCCTTTTGGATTGGAAGTTCAGCAAGTAAACTCCAGTACTTTATAATAACATAAGATGGGGTCCCACACAAGAAATAAAGCTTGAGGCTTGACAGCCTGGTAATTTGATCTGGCCTCCTAGGGGATTGATACTCTGAACAAAATGAATGTTATAAATTTTAATTTGAAATAGCTACTACATTGGGGTAGGGGAAATGAGGCCAAGAGTTTTTGGTTTTGTTCATCTAGTAAGTTTGGAAAAGATGAGTTAAAATTTCTTCTGAAGTTCCTAATGTTAGAATTAAATTGTTGAAAGATTCACGGGCGTGTTTGAGTGGAAAGTTTTGTTTGCTCTACCCAAGCTTTTCTATAAGCATCAGAATTTTCAGAGCTATTGCAAAGACAGTGGTGAAACGAGAACTTTGCCAGCTTCTTTATCCTTGACTACCATTCGCCTTCAAATAAAACATTGCAAAGGGGAACGTGGTTGTTGAACCATTATCTTCAGGACTCAGCCACACTATGGCTTCACCACCACTGACAAGCTTAGCTGTAGTATGAACATGTTTTGATTACCCCCCTCTGGTGAAATAAAGGTTGTTTTGTTTTGTTTTTGGAGGGATTGGATCTTCAAGAGCTTCTTCCCTACGAAAAGTCACCAGCCAGTGACTGCGAATTACTGACCTTAAACTGCAGATTGCACACATCTCCATTTCCCTTTGTTTTGTTGAGCAGAGCATCCGTGCTCGGATGTCCCAAGCAAGGTCTTTTCTTCCATTCAGTTATTTTTGTTACTTGTGAAGAAGATTACGTATTAATTGGGTCCTGAGTGTGAAAAATTCATGTTTCAAAGTAATCACACAGGTGTCCTAGAGTTTTTTTCTGCTAGTATGTATGTCTGAGGCAAATTTGATTATTACAGTAAAAGTTTTCCAGACCTTTGAAGTGTGCATTGGAGTTTTCAGAAATTCTGATCAAAGGGATTCTCTGCACAAGAGGTAAGGCACGGTGCAGGTAGAGGAACGTTACGAATGCGGTTGGTGCGTGGCTGCTGGTTACATAAACCCTACAGGTTGGCTGCTCTGCAGACAGGTAAAGAAGTAGGAAAGCAATTTTCCTGGGAACATTTCCCGAGAATACAGAAGCAGACAAGCCCCAAATAGGGCTTTACATGTTTGGGGTTTATTTAGAAATATATACATAGACATTGTGTCTTTTTATGTACAGGTAACCTCTAATATTATAAGGTGCCAAGGCAACTCCTGCCTTTCCACTCTTAGTGTTGATGATTCATATTTCATGTAGTGGGTTTTATTTGGGACACAGTCTCTGTGTAACACAGGCTGTCCTCAGCTTGTGATCCTCCTGCCCTAGCCTCCTGGGTGTGTTACAGGTGTGTTTCACAGTGCCTGGCCTTTAATGTCTTGTTTTGCTTCCTGTGAGGACTGGGCATGGAAGTTTCAGTGGTCTTGGCTTCACTTTGCCTGTGTCTTCCTGCTTCTGTTGCTGCTTTCTTGGGATTCAAAAAAAATACTGAATCTTTATTTCAGTTTGGTAAATTAAGGAGTTTTTTTTACAGATATTCATTTAAATTAACTTGGGAATCTTTTATTTCCAAGATAAATAATACCTAGTATATAAAAGTAACTAAAAGGGGAAAGTTATGCTATTATATTCTTTGAGGACAGTAAAGTAGGTTCAAAAATTTGAATGTTAGTATAGCGCTTAATATATCTGAGAGAAACTAATTCTCCAATGGATGAGATGGGGAAACAGGTTGGGGGTTTTTCTTAAAGTCACTAGTGTCATTGACTCAGGAGGCTCTGAAGAAAACAACAGTCTTACCTCTCGTTTGAGCTGTTTTCATAAGAAACCCAGCTTATTGACATTTTGCCTCTACTTTAAAGGATTTTTAATTTATTCTACTTACTGTAAAAGAGAATAATAATTGCTGATGTAAATTGGTCACCATTTTATGAGATATAGCTGGTTCTGAGTTTAGAATCACTCTGGAAAGAACTTGACCCAGAATTTGCTCCTGTGTCCTTGTAAACTTGATCTTCAAATTAGCCAATTTATCACCACTTTACATGCATCTTGGTTGATGCAGATATAGTGTAGCATTTCTAATTCCACACTATTCATCAATAATAAATGTGTGGAAGACTCAGCTACAGCTGGGACATAGATATCATATTACCAGGTCTTTCTGGCCCTACTTGTGGATGACAAAACAAGTTTGACCCTTTTCATACATGACAGTCTTCAAGATGTCTGGGAGTTCCCCTGTCAGCCCGGAGCCCCCTTTCACAATATCAACCATCCTGTACTCCCTCCCCATTCATAAAGCTTGTATAGGTCTTCAGGACATGTTTCATTGTTTCTTAGTGTATAACATTATAGATATGTCCGACAGTTAAAACCTGACCTTGCTTGTCCACGGGATCCTCCTAACATTTTGCCTTGATGTGTTTATCCAGGACACTTAATTTCATTAGCCGAGATTGCCCTAAGCAGATAATGTATATAGTGATGCACAAAGAAATTATTTTTTTTTATAATAATCAGGTCAGTAGTCAAAGAGTATACAAGGCACATAATTTAGTGAAATTTAGTGAAAGAAGAAAGGTAATAGGTTAATGCCTTGGCAAATCAGATGAAGTATAATCTCCATTTAAGGTGTTTTTGGTTTGCTTGCTTAGTTCTGACATAAATAACTGAATTATGTATTAAGTGACCTGTATAATATAAAATGTTACTTTTCAGGGTGTCCTTGCAGATTTAAGAACCAAACTACTGTTGTATCACTGGCATTGAGAAGACGATGAACTTGGGTTTAGTTAGCAATGGGAAGCAATGCTTCATTGGAACCGTTTGGGAACGGCACCAGCCCAATGAAGATGGGGAAGAAGTAGGCATGGAAGCCGGGCTCTAATGCAGATACAGTCCTAGAGAATAGATAGATAACGCCACAGAGTAACAGCATTGCAGTTTAACAGTGTTTCGCCACAGAGTAACAGCGTTGCAGTTTAACAGTGTTTATAGTTGCCACTTCTTCACCAGAACACAAAAGTCCTCAGGAAGACATGAGGCACTTACTGGTCTCCAGGGTATGAGTGGATGCCTGAATCCACAGATGCTCAAGTGCCTTCTATTAATTGATGAAGTGTGTGTATCCACCCACATCTTCCCTTGTGTTAGAGATCATCTGTAGATTAGCTGATACACTGTTGATACTTAGCAACAAGACAAATAAGACAGTTTTGACCCCTGAAGCCTTGGGTCTTCCGGTGTGGAGGACCACTGACTACTAGCAGAACTAGAATTTTGCAGAAAGGAAGAATACTGTGTAGCTACAATGGATACCCTTTATTGGTCCTTCACTTACGCTTATCAAACAGTTCACCTAAACTGTTAGAAGGTTGGGACTGTCTCTATTTTAAATGGCAAGAAACTCAGATGTTACACAATCTGCCCAAGATCATACTGTCAGCGGGTAAAGGAGATGATGGTGTCTGAAAGCAGTCTGTTAACCTAAAGAATTTTAGGCTGTCTTTGTTACCATTTTTTTTTGTTTGTTTGTTTGTTTTTCTTTCTGCCAAAAGAAGGCTGACTCTCAGGACACTTTTTATCTAGAACTGTAGCATCAAGTCTACAAAAGGATCAGTTTACTTAGCACTTACAGCCTTTCATGGGATTATAGAAAAATGTACCTGACAACAGAGTGGCACTCTTCCTGTCTTATATTAGTGTTGCACACCTAAGATAGATGAACAAAGTGGTACCCTGTTAACAGTCTACATTACTGGTCCCTCTGTGTCCAGTGCCATATGCACAATGTCACAGATTGAGGAGCAGCATCAGAACTTCACTGCCTAAGGCTCTCCTGGGCTGCTCTCCTGCTCACCTTGTAGCTGGGTCCTATGGTAAGCCTTGCTCAGCTCTGTGCTACACAAATTGCTGGACTGTTCCAAAAGCAGGTGTTTTACTGACTGAGCTAGCCCCCAACCCTGAAGAGAATTTTACTTTTCTCTGTACCAGTCATTTGCAAAGTGTCCCTTGGAACCAGTTGCTCCTGGGGGCATCTTGAAATGCAGATTCTTTGGCCATTTCATTTTGCATCCCCACCGGCAGGGACTGAGTCCTGGAGCCCCACATCCTCCCCAGCATTAACTGGTGTCTTTTTCCGGCTGTGCTAACGGATGCAGTGGTATCTCATTCAGCTCACAGCTTAGTGATATTCTGTAAGGTTTTCTAAGGAGTTTCCTTCTTTGCTAGCTTCTTTGGTGTTAGGTATCCTACCAAAGAGTTTTTGCCTGCTTGGAAGTTAGCTAATTGATTTTCACAAGTTAACAGTGTGTTTGGATACCAATCCTTTATTAGATGTATGTTTGGCAAAATTATCCCCCATTCTTTGGCTTGTCACACTGAATGTTCTTTTCAGAACAGTTTTCATTTTTAAG